TGTCCTTCCTCTGGACATGTCCAAACCATCTCAGTCTGGCCTCTCTAACATTATATCTTTTGTTCAACCTGTGCTGTACCTCTGATGATCTCATTCCTAATCTTATCCATCCTTGTCACTCCTAAGGAGAACGTCAACACGCACCCATTTTTTTCTATTATAATGTGTACTTTATAATGGAATGTCTTGTTCAAAATCTGCTCCGTTTCAACATTTGTGACAGCCGACAAGAGATCATCGTGTCTGTTTTTGCTTGAACATGACGTGGGTCATTTAGAAGTTTGCCTTGACTTTACAGTGTTGCCAAGAAAAGCACAAAGGAAACTAGAGAAGGTGTATTTCTTGTGAAAATCCACTGTGAATGCTAACTGCTGAATGATTTTTGCAGAAAGCTGCTTAAGAAGTTGAAACCAGGCTGAAAAGGTTCCATCGCCTACTTGTTAATGCAAGTTGAATTTGAACAGCTGAAATGAAGTAAAAGAGGGAAAATAAAAATGGAAAAGAGTAGAAAAACTGCAGACGTGTATAGAAAAGGTTATGGAGCTAAAATGAGCAGAATAAGCTAAAACGGGCAGAGGCTGAAATGTTACAAAAATCTGATATTAGCCACAACAAAAAAAGTAGCTGAAAAAGCTAAAAAAAACAAACAAAAAAAAGCTTAAATCAGCTGAAAGACGTTGAAAGTAGCATAAAAAGTTTAAAAGATTTTAAAGAATCATAACCCCAAACATAGCAAGACAATGCTAAGATTAGCAGAAACATACGTAAAAAGTAGCTGAAAGGCAGAAAAAAAGCTGAAATTGGCAGAAACCTGAAAGGAGCATAAAAAATGAAATTAGATAGTTGTTGCCATTTATCAGTATTTTCTAACTTGTCATTTTCACACCACAAGTTTCTTGAACATTATTTAAAGATTTAAACCATCTTGAACTTGTCAGCACAAGCTTCAGCTAGAAAGCAGCAGGCTGACTGAAGTGTGTGCTGAAAAGAAGCAAGCAGGCTACTGGGTTAGTTTAGAGTATATACAGTAATGATTTGAATGAAGTGCACAAGAGGGGAGGGAGTGCGGTTCAGGGGGTTCCTGATGGGCTTCCTCCGAACAGGAATGTGTTGGTTTGACGTTTTAACTTTTTTCTTAGCTCTTTTCTGGTTTGCAGCTGTTTGATATTTATTGTGTTGTGTGTTTTTCAGCACTGGGAGGTGTTTAGGGTGATAACGGAGGTTTTTATTCTTGTTCCTGCTCTGGTCGGTCTCAAAGGAAACCTGGAGATGACCTTGGCGGCTCGACTGTCTACTGCTGTAAGAACCTTTTACTCATGTTGTGAAGAGGCAGCTGAAAGAAAGCATCGGTGTGGTTTCCTTTTATTACTACCTGTTTATGCTCATAGAGACTGCACTGTGTGTTGGCTCAAAGAGAGCAGCTTCTTTAATGATTGATCATCTAAAATAAAATTAGGAATAAACTTTGTTAAATCAAAGTGCCATACCACTCAAGTGCCATCTAGCGGCTGAAAATGGTAGTGTTCAATATTTTCAGTCCGAATGAATGAAAACAGTCATATCTCAGACAAAAATTGGTTCATCAATATGGTGAAAAATATATAAATACGTTGCTTCGGGGTGTAAGTCGCAGGGCATGCAAATTATGCAAAAAAAAAAACTGCAGCTTATACGCTGGAAAATATGGTACTCATTTATGTTGTTGTTTTGGGATTATAATTATGAGTCATGACTTTCTTTGTGCTTTTACTCTTTTTTCTCATCTCTTAGCTGATGTACAGCAATAAGATGTCTAACTGCGGGTTCTCGTTTTTAGGCCAACACGGGTCAAATGGACGACTCTGACAAACAGTGGACAATGGTGTGCAGCAATCTGGCCCTGATCCAGGTAACAGCCTCTGCATTCACACGGAGCTGGGTGTGTGCTGCTCGAGAGCTTCTTGAGCTCTTTAAGATTTAATTCAGCTATAAATACATACAGTCTTTTGAATTATTTACAACAGAAGTGGTATTTCACTGTGCCTTTAGTTTAGTTTTTGCACTAAATGTACATAGAAAAGCAGCTTTACGACATAAATGATAAACAAAAAAATTAAAAATAAATCTAGAGGTAACTGTTGTAGATTTAGAGGAATTAGGATCAAGATTTAATTCATAGCAGAGGCATTATTTATGTTAAAGATAAAATTACCTTCAGGGATAAATAGTTTTTCCAGACAAGTTTTTGTAAATGTTTGTGTGAATGCCTATTGTGGTCCTGTTTATATTTATTATTATAGTTACTATCCAACTTCAATAGCTGAAAAAAAAAGCACAAATGTGCCAAAAAAAAAAAAACTGCTTAATAGTAGCTAAAAAAGTTGAAAGAAGCTTAAATTACCAGAAGGATGTGGAGAGAGCACAACTGTGCACACTTAAGCTGAAAGAAGCAGAAATTGCACAAAAAAGCAGAAATTTGCAACAAAACAAACAAAAATAACCCCACAGCTGAATAGTAGCTAAAAGGCAGAAAGAAGCTGAAATTACCAAAAGGAACTAGAGAGAGCACCATTTTACTATTAAATGTTTAAGAGCTTTTAACAATTTCTGTTAAAGATAAAATTACCTTTTGTTTCAATAGTTTTTCAGGTAATTGTTATTAAATATTTGCAAGTTACTGAGATTCTCTGTTATTGCTTGAGGTCATTTTAAGATGAATCAACCCAACAACACAACTATATCTAAAATAAAATAAAAATATTTAATTGTTTTTATTCTTTTTTATTTGTTTCAACAATTAAAGTAAATACGTAGTAATTGACTTTTTTTTGCTTACATTTCACAACATCACTCCTCCTTGCTTGAGTATCGCTCTTCAGATGTCACGTTCACTGATGTGCATTCATTTTTATTGTTAAGCAGTTTGGTAACAGCTGCGGTTTTTAAATGTGCTTTATAAATAAAGTGGACTTGACGACTTGCGTTGATGCAGCTCTGTCTCTTCTTGCAGGTCCAGGCCACAGTGGTGGGCTTCCTCGCAGCACTGGCAGCTATTTGTTTAGGTTCAATCTCCAGAGGAGGAGTTGAGCTGGATCAGGCAGCTGTTCTGTGTGCCAGCAGCATCACCACTGCCTTTCTGGCTGCTCTGTCTTTAGGTACGACGAGCTGTGCACGGCAAACGTCACAGTAACGTTTCACTTCAAAGGGACAAATTACATTAAAAAAAACAAAAAAAAAAACAGAAAAAAGTGTTACTTTGATATAAAAGTTTCCCCTCAGAAAGACAAACTGCTAAATATTTTCCCGGACGAGCCCCCAAATATGTTATGGTCCTGATAAGTCCATGAGTAAATGGCAGGACGCAGAACATATGAAGCCCAGACGATTGTATAGTTTAGACAAAACTTTAATAGTCAACCAATTATCTGAACATAAACTGGGAGCCCCGGCTAAAACAAACAAAAAAGAAGGAGAAGCCCCAAACCAGCCAGCAGCTGGCAGTCGGATTCAGACTGCTCCCCTCGCCCTATGGTCCAGGGTCTAACCCTACAAACAAAAAACGCAAACTTAAACTAAGCCGGTAACTTCCAGTCGCAACCACACACCGCTCAACCATAAAACAGTAACAGGTGCAACCACAGGTATCTCTGACAGGAGCAGGAGCGAGGCTGGAGAGAGCAAAACCAACAGCCATCAGAACAACGTCTCCTCTGGCCTCCCTCGCTCAGCCAGCAGGCGGAGCTTAGTCCTTTTAAACCGCTTCCGGCCAATCAGCTTTTTCAGAGAGAGCAAATGGATTAATTAGACACACTGACATAGATGACACAGGGACACGTCACAAGTAAGTAAATATTTTACCTGCTCTATCGATTTTATGCTTAGTTTATATCCCAACTAGAAAATCTGATATTTTATTGTCATAATTATATATTTTGCCGTTGAGTGCATTGTTAAAAAAGCCAAGGCAAAACCTTTTTTTAATTAACCCCAGAAACACGTAAAAAGAGGGTCCTAATGTTAGACTCTAATAACTCGGAGAAGAACAATGTGACGAGCGCATTAACTGCCTCTGGTGGCCATGATGTTTTTCAACGATGCCTTGATGGGTTTTAATACCTGGGCAGGGTCAAAATGATTCAAAAATATATTTGCATACATTTAAACTGTAAAATAACTGCTTTAAAATCTGCAACAGTTCAATAAACTATCATGCTGCTCACCACAAATAATAAACAGTAATAGGTTTATCCATCAGTGGTATCCAAAAGGTTCTGTAATAACATTAAAACAAAGATTGAATGCTGAAAGAACATCCAAAACATATCCTTTAAATAAAACTAAAAGTTCATAATACTGCACTATTGTTTTTGATCCCTTTAGTTCAGTTAATGAATTAAAAAACAGTCTCGACTTTTAATTTTAATTTGTCTACTTTAAATCATGCAGAATGTTCACCATTTATCTGTTCAACCGTTTCCCAAAAAGCACCCCGTGCTGACATAATATTGTATTTAGTAATAGTTAATTACACATTGATACAGTGTTTATAACTCGTTGCAATGTTAAGTTGGTGCTGTGTGGGCAAAAAAAAAAAAAAAAAAAAAGTTTACATCTTTTATTCTTGTTTGCTTGGAGCAGAGAAATGTTTCTTTTTGTCGGTTTTCATTTAACATCATAGATGAGTTATTCATCTGTTGTTGAGTTCTTGTCTCTTCCGGCTGTCACTCTGTGGCTTCTTGATGCTGTAAAAATCATTTTATTTATGTTGAATACACGGTTCTTCGTCCTTTTGTCGTTTTGCAAACCAAGATGAGAGCTGTCACAGAAGCCAGTGAATCTCTCTGCTCTCTTTAAACCTTTAAGTGACAACTTATTTCTTTGTTTTCATCGTCTCAGACTAATTGTTCTTCATTTCTTCCTCCTGTAGGCCTCGTGATGATTGGAGTGATCATCGGCTCCAGGAAGGTGGGGATCAACCCTGACAACGTGGCCACCCCCATCGCTGCCAGTCTGGGGGATTTAATCACCCTGTCTCTTCTGGCTGGGGTCAGCAGCACGCTTTATGAATATAAAGGTAAGAAACAAGAAGAAACCCCGACCTAATAACAGGAATATTTTGTCTGTTAGAAATGGTGTATTTCAGATCAGTCCACTAGGTGGCAGCAAAGACCAGTTTAAAAAATATATCAAAGCAGCTCATTTTACTCATTTTGTGCTTCTTATTTAGAATATTTATTTAACTGAAATGCCCTTTAACTTTCTTTGGAGTTTGACAGTTGATCTGTTTCTGAGCATGTGCCTTTTCCAGTGTCCCAGGTCCCGCTGTATGGCAGTGGGCTCATCGTTCATGTAGAAATGTTTGTAATACTTCTAAACACACGTAGCATAAACTTGTCACATTCTTTCAAACTGGTCTAAACATTTATAGATTGGAAAATCTTCAGTTGTGCAGAAGTCCTATACAGGCACAGCTGGGGGAAACTTTCTTCCCAACTAAGACTGTAAAAATATATAATAAAAATCACTGAGTGCGTATGAAGCTGTAGAACTTTTTGCAGAACCTGGAGAGTTTAAAAACGACAAATGTTTTTTTAACCATATTATTAGTAGTAATAGTAATTAAGATTAATTTTGTGTAAGAGCTTTGGCAGTAGTACACTTAAGGTGGATAAAAACACATTTATTTGGAAGTGTATAATTGTAAATGTGTTAAATAACATTTATTGAATCTAGGCCGTCACGAACTTTGCTGGGAGATTAATTGTCTCAGAAATTATTGCGATAAACTATACTATTGTTTGAAATTTGAAAATAATTAGTAATTGTAAAATTTAAGAAGAAATGTTGACTGTGAACCGATGGATGGATAGTGCGAGAGCGAGCAGCGTGTCTCTTTAAGAAAAATGGGAGGGAGGTCCTTTGACGTGACATGGGCTGTCTCTCCTTCCTCGTTTTCAGTTCTCGAAATTGCGGACGCTCGGTGTGGTTTGAGCTCTTTAGCATAGCATTTTTCGCACAAAGCTTTTAATAATAAAAAAAAAAAAAAATCAGTAAACAAGTTCCCAGCCTTTTTTTTGCAGAGAAAAACAACTTTTTACACGAAGGCACGAGTTTCAACCGTGAATTTTGGCGCTTCGACAAGACGGAGGTTTTTTCCCCCCCGAGGTCGGCCTGTTAGCTTAGCTCGTAGCTTAGCTTCTCAGCTTAGCTGCTTTTAGCAAAGAGAGGAGAAAAGAAGAGAAGAAACGATAAGTTGATCATTTTCATTTATCGTGCAATTAATTGATTTATTGCGACAGGCCTAATTGAATCCATATTTACCATGACTCATGCTGGTTGTTCCACGGTGCTGACTGCTTCTGTCAGTTCTATATCTTTATTCTTATAATTTAAATTTAATCATTTGGTGTATTTTCCTTTCCTCAGACATTTGGTACTTGTCCCCCGCCGTGTGCCTGCTCTTCTTAGCTCTGATCCCTGTCTGGGTGGTGGTGGCCCGGCGAAGTCCTCAGATCAGAGAGGTTCTGAGCTCGGGGTGGCAGCCTGTCATAGTAGCCATGTCCATCAGCAGGTAGACTCTAAAATCAATTTGATGAATTTCTCTCGTTACTAACAACCTAATTCACTTAGAAAAAGTAGCTAAGAAAATAACCCTTGCACGAGTTATAATAAAGTTACTTCATCCGAGTGACGGGTTGTTTCAGGCACATGCAGAAACCGTGGTGCTTTCATGACTTTTCTAAACACTAAGCGCCTCTGATTGCCTGATTCTTTTTCATGTCTTTGTCGTTTGTTTATGATTTTGTCAATTTCTTTTATAAACTATAGAGTTGAACAGGACATACAATGTATAAAGAAGTTTAAATAATGGTTAGACGGTAAATGTATGTGGAATTTTCCAGTTTTGGAGGCCTCATTCTGGACAAGACGGTGAGCGATCCCAACTTTGAAGGGATGGCTGTCTTCACTCCTGTCATTAACGGTAAGATGATCCGTTTTTATTACCTGCTGCCAACAACAAAGATCCAGAGGCTTTCCCCATGTTTGTGTTTGTGTTTGTATGTTGCTTTAACACAATATGTCAAGGGCGTGGAGTTTAATGAAAGTCTATAAGTAATCGCTGGATGAACAGTGGATTAAGTTTGGGAGTCAGTGCTATTCAAGATGGCCCCCACAGCTAAGCAGCCTTAGCAAACAGAACACAGACCTAACAAAACCATTAAAAAAAACACTGATCAAATGTGGTGTGGTAGTAGCTGAGCCTCATCCCCAACACATATTATAAAGACTCATTAATGGAGCTGTTTTTAAAACTTTGTCGTCAACTATTAACCCTGCCTGTCCGTTAGTAAAATATCTCATGAACCACCGGATGTATTTGAATGAAACTCTCGGTAAGTAACCACTGGATTTAGATCCACAACTCATTCACATTTGGAGTCGTCCCAGTTCAAGATGACAGCCACCACTAATGAAACTTAACCAACACAGAAATGGTTAGAACCTGTTTTACCGATGTTAAGCCAACTGCTGGTCACATGGCCTCAGGGAGGGATTATGGGTAAAATTTATATTCATTGTTAATAATTTTGGTTAGCTGTTTAGTAGGGGTGGACGATATGGCTCAAATATAATATTGTGATATTTCAGAGCATTCTGACGATAACGATAAATTTTGTGATAACAAAAAAAAAAAAAAAGAAATCAGTTATTCATGTGACAAAATTAACTTAAGTTGCTTTGCAGTATTATATAAAAATTAAAAAACACAACAGTTGTTAATTTTACTGAAATTACTTGATTTAGTAAAGTATTCAGTCTCCAAGTATAAAAATAACAAGTATCCTTCTGTTATTTAGATTGAAAAAGTCTGCACAAAATATAGATCAATAAATCCACCACAAAAACTAAAGTGCACGTGCAGTTTCCCAAAATAACTGAATCAAATGAAGCTTAAGATCTGCTGAGCATAAATGTAACATACAACAAAACACATGTTGCCTTTAAATGAGCTATAACTTCCAGAACTTGTGACATGGTGTCTTCAGCTGACCCTGAAGCTTGTGGAGTTTCAGCTTCTTCTGTTCCTGCAGGAATGATTCATTTCTCTGATGCTCTGTCTCTGATCACCTGGCTCTGTTCTTGGTCCATGAACTGTGGAACTCAAGAGACAGAACTGCGTGTTTGTATCGGCAGTTTAGAGCGGGGGAGACGCAGCCACGCTGGGCCAACACCGGCAGCCCAGAGCGGGGTGGGGGGAGAGAAAAAAGCCGAGCTGCGTGGGTGGGTGGGGGGGAGGGAGAGACAGTTGAGCTGTCACTGTCTGTACCCGCAGTTTAGCGCTGGGTGGAGAAACGCAGCCAAGCCATGCGTTGTTTGTTTTTAGCTTTTTAGCTAGTTATTGTGCGCAGCCAATTAGCGTTACACCAGTACCGACACATGGATGGAGGGGTACGCAGTTCAGTTCGGTAGTTCGGCGCGCTCGGTTCTGTTAACGGGGCGGGGAAAACACTGACGTACTTATGTCATGAAATTAGCATATCATGATATTTATTTTCCCGGGCAAGCTTTTTTTACTGGTATTATCATGAACGATATGATATGGCGCAGCCTTACTGTTTAGCGTAGTTTTTTGTGTGTGTTATTGCACAAATTGTTGTTACTGTTATAATTATTTTGTTAGTTTGTGTTAGGGCATTCAGTAGAGTAACCATGAGTGAGTTGTCATGAAGACCTGTGGGCTTCACTGTCTGTGTGTGTGTGTTGAACAATAAAATAAAGTCCGTAAAACGCCACCTGGTGGTGGATTCTTGAGCTACAAGAGCTGCACATCTCTCTCAGTAGCTGTGTGCTGCCACTCGTTACAAGGTGAACACCCACGGCTTACACGTTATTTAGTGTGCGGCTTATATTCAGGTGCGCTCTATAGACCGACAATTATGGTAAATCATCTTCAAATTAATTTCTCCTGCAACCATCTCTGTCTTTACCTTTGGGGCGTTAAAAGCTTGAGTCCTTCATGATTTAGTTACTTCTGAACTAACAAGACAGCACCGTTCAACCTAATCCTGTCTTCAAGTCGTACCTTTATGTTTAGAAATTAAACTGTCATCTGATCTTGAACAGCATATTAGTTGCTGTTTTGAAATATTTTCTTCCTCATTATCCTCAACAAAAACACCAGACCAGATTAATTAACTTTCAGAATGCTCACATATGTTCTAGTTTTTCTGGCTTGTGTTTTAAAATGCACAAACAAAAAAGTTAATTAAAAAGCACAACTTCAAGGGACTGTTAGAAATAAAACAAAGCTGGGAAACAAACATTGGTTTGGTCACGCTGTGGTGTACGAGCACTCTGAATATTCAGAGTTTTTCAGTCAAAAGCGTTTTTAAATAAAAGCCTGCATCCAGATTTTTATTTAAGCGTTTTATCTTGTTAAACAGTAGCAGCTGTAAAATAAAACAAACTCATATCAGATTCAATCAGAACACACAGATTTTATCTGATCAGAGAGTTATTTTAACATCTTGATACTTGACAGCAAATCTATGCTGCGCAGAAAGAGTTGAGCCCCAGAAACTTTTATGGCGCAGACGCACCGACGAGGTATTTGTTTCTCAGAGTCATGGCTTTGAACCGAGTTACCCTGCAATGGTGCCCGAACTCAAGCATTTCCGTTTCCCCCCCCAAGTTGATTTAAATGGCTGCTGGCTGGAAGGCAGAAAATACATCGAAAACGATGCGTAATACTTTGGAAAATGTTTGGCTCCAACAATAAAATGCACAAGAATTGAAGTTAATGGGCTGAAACTGGCAGAACTGCCGGTATCTCCTGTGAACGAAGCTGCTGGAGCGTTTTCACAACCATCAGCTTATTTTCCGATGAGCTGAGGCCACGGTGCGGGACGCTGGACGGCTTTGATGCATCGCTTAAAAGTTCCATTACCATCCCAACAGGACAAGTTGTGTAAAAACTTCACAAAATGTACTCATTACTTCAGCAGGAAAAACATCGTCAGCTGTGCCTTTTATTAAAAAGAAAGAGACTTTTCTCACTTCATTTTGAATCTTGGTCTTTCATCCTAAAATGAATGGTAGTACTAGACTAAATACCAGGATGCATACAAGATACATGTAGTCAAAGTAAATGCTAATACAAACACACCTAAATGAATCAAAATAGTTCTGTAAAAACAATGCGTTGCACCCACGCCTTTAAATTTCAAACTATTGAGTTACGTTTTGTGCAATTAATTCAGTTCAGTTTATTTATATAGCGCCAAGTCACAAGTGATCTCAGGGCACTGTACAAAAACATTCACATACATACAAAATGCCAATTAGTAAAAGTTCTCTAAGGAAGCAGACTTGTTGAGTCTTCACTTGGTCACAGTCTCCCATCCCGAGCGAGCACAAAGGAGACAGTGGAAAGGAAAAACTCCCGTTAACAGGAAGAAGCCTCCAGCAGAACCAGGCTCAGGACGAGCGGCCATCTGCTTCGATCAGCTGGGTTTGAGAGGAACAGGAAGGAGAAACAAACACAGAATGACAGGTCCAGGTGAACTTTCTATAGGAGGAAAGATAAAAACACATTAAGATAGAAATAATTACAAACAGGTAGAGTAAGTAAAGACGGCAGCAGAGTGAGGAAATGCGGCCAATGTGTCCTCCACCAGTCTAAGCCTATAGCAGCACCAACTAACTAATGGGTAGTTCAGGAAAAATATGGTATATGATCAGTAATGTAAGATGGAGCTAGGTTGTTGAGAGCTTTGTAGGTTAGAAGTAAGATTTTTAATCCTATTCTGGATTTGACAGGGAGCCAATGGAGATAAGCTAAAACTGGAGAGATATGATCTCTCCCACTAACTCCAGTTAAGACTCTGGCAGCAGCATTTTGGATCAACTGAAGATTTTTTAAAGAAGTTTTTGGACATCCAGATAATAAACCATTGCAATAGTCCAGTCCAGACGTGACAAATGCATGAACCAGTTAATGACATATTGCACGATCACCTGTGATCTGTTAGTGGTTGCCGTTTGTGTTGAGGATAATTCTCAGCTGCTGTCACAAAAAATAGTGTCTTAATATTTGCTAAATCGACAGAGTTATAGTCAGTTTGTGTTGGCTAATATCAAGCATGTGTGGTGGCCATCTTGGATTGGATTGAGTCCAAAAGTTATACAGTTGTTGTTTATTGGGTGATATTTTGCTAACAGTACAGGCAAAAACTTTTTTGTTTTAAAATTTAAAATGCTTTATCGTTATTTTATTCAATAATTAATGCAGTTCAAGATTTAAATAAATAAATTAATTAAGACCAAAAAAATGAGTAAATGGGGGGGGGGGGGGGTGCCAGTTTTGCAGATTGAGTTAATTTGAACTGATCCACCTCAAATCAGATTTATAGAAACTCCATGATTTCCTTTCAACTCCTTTCTGCATGAGGAAGTCCCATGGGGCTGCAGAAATCTGAGATTTAGGCTTTACCTCAGGGTTTGTGGTTAGGAATCAGACACAGGTGGAGGTAAAAATGTGCTTTTGCTGTGAGGCGGTGCGTGCAGAAAGCCTCTGCGTACCGAAGAGAAGTGGACGTGAATCACCAGCGGTGTCCCGGTGCAGCTGACAGGCCTTTAATAACATCCAGGCTCTCTGTCACTGTTCTCATTTTGTTTCTGCTGTTTCTCAAGCCGAACTCTCGCTGCACCGCTCCGCTGACTTAGAAGTGTCAGTCTGGTTTGAATTTCCCATCTCCACTCGCAGGACTGCATGTAAACCCTATATGACGTTTGACTTAGAGGTAGTCTCTCTATTTCACACAAACACCCCTGTCATATTACGTTAAGGGCAGATATTTGGAAAGGTGTCGGACTTGAATAAATTAGGCTCAGTCGTGTCAGCTGCAGAATTAGTGTCAGTTAAAAATTTAACTACGATGAGGTCGCTACCCAGACACAAATGAAATAATTTTGGTTTTTCTATTTCATAAAACATCTCACGTGTAGTTAAGAATAAATAAATCCGGAAATAATTGATTAGGTTGTTTTTTTAAAACACATGCCAGAGTTTTGACATGATGGTTTTGGCAGAAGCAGGTTCTCACCCTGGCTGCAGGCTGCTTCAGCTCATTTCACTAATGAGACGTATAAAGAAAGAAAATGAATGAATCTGTGCACGTTTATCTTAATACTTTCTAAAGTTCAGGTAAAACTTTTCTCTGTAGCACTAATAATGAACGCTTTTGTCACCGACCCCACAGACCAGTATGAATCTGTTCTGTTAGTTTAAGTAACTCATTAGGACAGACGAGTGTTTCTACAAGTGTTTTTTGGGTCAAAGATCCGTTGAGTCCGGTGATATTGTTCTGTGTTAAAACTGAGATTTACGCACTAAAATTATTTTATTTTTGTGTAGAACAGAATAGTTCAGCTGATTATGATGTTTAAAAAGAAATAATTAGACTTTTTAAGCACACTGTTTTCATGTTTATAGGTTTTCTCTACATTTTCTTTCACATACGATGAACTGTTCAATTATCAAAACATTCAGTTCCATTGGGAATAGTGTGCTATGACTTTAAAATAAAAAAAATTGAAGCCATCCGTGCCTTAATGTCATCAAGACATTTTAACAGAAGGAGAATTGTGCATGAGATATTGGGTTTTAAGGGCAGATAAATCTGACAATCATCAGCGTAACAATGAAAAGAAACACCATGTTTCCTCAGGATGGACCCAAAGGGAGCAGATACAGTGAAAACAAAAGGGGTCCAAGAATCAAACCCTGTGGAACCCTGTAGGAAAGATGTGCTGAAGCAGATAATATATTACCAGCATTAACACAAAAGCTCCTGTCACTCAGATAATAAATATATTTAAAAAAAATTGAGATCTCTTCAAATCCTTGAAAACATTTTGGTTTTGAAATCTGCTTTAGCATTTTCTTTGCGCCATTTAATTTTTTTTAGCAAATTTTGCCAATCTTATCTTTTAACACCAAAATTGCTAATTCTAGCTTCCAGCTTTCATTTTGCTCATTTTAGCTTGTAGCTAATGTTTTCCTAGTATTAGCTTCTGTTCCGTTTGATTTAACATTTAAACTAAGTTTCAGCTCGTTGACTAATTTCAGTTACTGTAAGTCCCTGAGCGCTCGGCGTTCACGCTGCACATTTTTCTAGTCTGATTCATTTTATTGAAAAAGTGACAAATAATTATTTTTAAAGTGGATTCTCTGTTATTATTCTGTTGTTTATTTATTAGTTCTCTCATAAAGCACTATGTTTTGCCACGCTTGTATTTTTAGAATGTGAAAGTCAAATTTGGCTGCATTTTGCTCTGCGGTGCACTTTAATCTGGTCTGTAGTGAGACTAACTCTAATCTTAAACCCATCTCCTGACATCCCGTGTGTAGGAGTGGGTGGTAACTTGGTGGCCATCCAGGCGAGCAGGATTTCTACTTACTTGCACTTGTGGAGTGTTCCAGGGGTGCTGCCCAACAAGATGAGCCAGCACTGGCCCAATCCCTGCATCACCTTCTTCTCCTCAGGTATGCTGAGCCTCCCTGACAAGTTCATACATGAAATGAAAACAGGTTTTACCAAAAATGTTTGAATTCTGATTATCAGCTTAAACATGTGTCCTGAAAGACAGAGCAACTTTATTCCATATTTGTTCTTCACTTTTTTTTTTTTAAATTTGATGTTTTGAATTTAGTGTCCGAAACAGCTCGACTTGTCGTATGACCTGAGGGTTGTACTGCACATCTGTACCTGTGATTTATGCTCCATGCAGATGTGAAACGTTACGTTTTAGTGTCACAAGTGAAGAAGAGGGTAAAGATCGATGGATGGATGTTGTACCACATTCATTTAAATGTTAACATTTTACTCAGCTAATTTAACCATGATACCATCTTTATGTACTGAACTATTTTTCCTGCAGAATGCATTTTAATAATGCAATGTTTTGATTCGTGAGGCCTACTTTGTGCTGCCTAAAATATTTTGCAGCTAAAGTAAAAACAAATAATAAAATAAACCAGCTGGTTGATGTCGGCAACATGGTTTTAGAATTAGTTCGCATTTGCTGAAAGTCTGTTCACAGTTGCTGATTTTGGATTCAACAAGACTTAAAAAGCCCCGCGATAACTGAAAAAACTCAAAGTAGGAATAATACTACAAGTAGTATTTATTTTAGAATATATATTTTATTATTATTATTATTATTATTAAGGCATTTTAAACCCTTCCCACACTATTACAATATTCTAAACCATGTTTCTAAACGCTCTAGAAGAGCACAGAATGTCATGATTTCTCCCGCTCCTGCAAGCGCTCTTGGCCACGCCCATTTCTCCATTCTGCACGGTGAACAGCTGATCAGCTGCAGGAGGAAGTTTATCCTGCAGTATGGGCTGCACAAAGGTGCAGCAGGTGCTAAATAATTTTAAATAATTTATTTTAAATAAAAATTCCATGCCGATCATGCAGCTCATCCATCAATCAGCCAATTGTGCGTCATGTTCAATCTTATTTTGAAAAACCGCGATAAACGAACCGCGAAGCAGCAAGGGACTACTGTATACCATTTTTATTTGGTTTTATTAGTATCAGTTTGTCTATTGTAACAGAATCAGAAGAAACTAAACATTTTGAGTATGAAAGATAATAAATGTTTGTTTTTTTCTGTGCTGCTGTAAAGACCTCATTTTGTTGCATTTCCAACAACTTTTACTTCATTCCTGTCTTGTCCTGATTGTAGCAGAAGTTTTTTTGTTTTGCCTTTTTCTTTCCTGTAAGGACTTTTGTATCCTCATTTTCTCTCTATTTGTGGAAAGTGCTATTTTTGAATGAAATATCGGGACAACTTGGCGCAGAATAAACATTCAAGGATTTGTAAAATGCCCATTGTGCATGTGCCCCGAGCCTGAAGAGGAAAGACTGAAATAAAATAAAATAAAAACACCATCATGGAGCTTGTTATAAAGAAGTATCTGGATCTGTCAAACCAGTTAATGGAAAAACAAACAGCTTTACTAAACGGTCTTCGTATTATACCACTCAGTTAATATCACAAAAACATGTTTTTTTTTATCATGTGGCAGAACCTGCTTATATGAATATGGATGAAAATAAAGAAAATGTATATGTATGTAATACCACTGATAGGTGGCCAACAAAACCACCAGTAAGATACATTGCAGTGGTTCCCAACTCTGGTCCTTGAGGAACACCATCATGCATGTTTTTGTTGTTTCTTTGCTTTAACACACCTGATTCAGTGATTTAATTACATCCTCAGTTGCAGAAGCCTGTTAGTCACCGTTCATTTAAATCAGGTGTGTTGGAGCAGAGAAGCAACTAAACCATGCAGGACGGTGTTCCTCAAGGACCAGGGTTGGGAACCACTGGATTATGGTTTAATAGCATTAGTCAGGTACAGACATGCGTTTTATTTTTGTCAAGAACAAAAAGCTCATTCTTGAGTTTTAGGTTGAAGATCATTCAGGACAAAGCATCAACAGGGACTTAGTTCCACAATGTCAGAATAGAGGAAAGTGTTTGTTCTCACCAAACTGTAGAAAACACCCATTTTTGTATGTCCCAGGGGTGAACTGCAAGTCAGCTCGGGTGCTGCTGATGCTGGTCATACCGGGTCACCTGGTCTTCCTCTACGCCATCTCTCTGCTGCAGGGAGAGGAGGCTCCCATCACTGTAGCCTTCACCATCTGCTACCTGTGTGCTGCCCTGCTGCAGGTAAACCCATTCAACCCATCCGGGACAGAGAAAAACTCCCACTTGTTCTGTGTGAGAGCTTCTCGTGAACTCACTGACCCTCAGTTCATCCTGAGGTTCCTCACATTCGGGCTGGTACAAACAGTGGAAAGGTTTCTTTGGACAGGTTTTGGCCCGTGCGATGAAAATGGCCACCTGTTAACTAAGTGTGAAATAAACGGTGCCCAGAGTTGAGGTTTGAGCTGCTCTTTGAGCCGATAGTGTGCCTCATGTTATTTCTAAATTTAAAAACTATCTCCGGTGTTAAAACAGTTATTGATCAAACTGGAGCATTGGACGTTTGAATTCATACTTACTGTCAGTTCTTCTCCCCCCATTAGGTGGCTATCCTCCTTTATGTTGCCGACCTCATCATCCGTTTGATGTGGAGACGAAATCTGGACCCAGACAACTTCTCCATCCCTTACCTGACTGCTCTTGGGGACCTGCTCGGCACCAGTTTCCTGGCCCTCTGTTTCCACTGCGTCTCACTGGTTCAAAGTTTGGGTCTATGAAATTTGCCACTTTTCCCTGAACACTTGTAGTTTTGCACCTTTTTCTCCTTTTGATTGGACTAAAGCTCATATCAAAGAATCAACCCAAACACCCATGTTCAGCCCAACAAACCCGGTTTTATTTGAGAGCAGACGACTTTAAACACCGTCCTTGAGAGCATTCATTACAGAATACCGAAGCTTGGAGTGCAATCATTCCTCCTCAGTGTCTGCTACCTAGTTTTTCTGCATTTAGTCTGTTTAAATTAGTTCGAGGGACATGGAGTCAGTCCCGCAGTGAGACAACACCACAGGAACCAGCTGTGTTTTGTTAGCCTTCGCTGTGAACGGTTATTCTGCCTGTTGACATTTGTTTGAACTCGGGGATGAAAAATATTACAGTAACAATGTTTGAGTGCACTCTGCAAATCTGCTGGAGGATATACAGGTTTAATGAGAATTTAATAAGTGAAGGCTTATTATGAAGTAGCCTAGTTTCCATGCACATCAGATTACTACAAGGGGATTTTCTTGTTCCTTCGGAGAATTTTCTTGGTAGAAGAAGTTGATTCAGTGGCAACTGTGGAAAAGTTTATCTAATGTTTCAGAAAAAGAATCAAACAATATTCACAGCTGAGATGGTTTTACAGGAGGAGGGAACTCTGTGACTGCCATAAATCTATTATTTTGTCTGTATACCAACTGTGGCACTTCGTGTGTCACATAATGGAACATGTAAAGTCAAAGACATACATGTCATACATGTAGAGCAGGGCTGTTCAACTAAACTGCTCAGGGCCACAGTTACTGAGAGCCCGCAGCTCAGGGGCCCAACATCCAGCAGTTTAAAGTCATTATGTGAATAAACCAAGTATTACAATGATCTGTTACTTTTTAAATTTGTTTTATTGCATTGAATCATGAATGCAATACAGAAGTCCCTCGATTATCGCGGGGGTTACGTTCCACACACTACCGCGATAGATAAAAAACCAACAAAGTATGAACTCTATATTTATTTAGCATTTATTTATATTTTAAGGCTTTATAAACCCTTCCCACACTCTTGCAATGTTCTAAACTCTTAAACCTACATAATTTTAACAACATATGTGTAAGTACTGTACAGTACTGCAAAATTTTACTCGCCAGCTCTGCAGAACAGCAGCTCGGTTTCGATCGGGCTCGGTTCTGGTTCTGCAGACCTACCTGGCAGCAATGAAGCCCACCGCCCCGTCCAGGTTGATGTGCACGTGGATAATTGAGCTTCAGGATTAATTTTCCACTTTCCTGCCAGTTCTGTGAGCTTAATAGATTTGCCTTGCAAAAACTTTCCCTCCGTTTCGGCAGAAAGCAGCGGCCGAAAGCACTGCTGGCTTCTGGGTAGTGTAGTTCTTTAGACATGTGTTAGTGTAGGTTTATTGAAGAAGAAAAAAAAACTACAAAATGGCGGCACCTGTCTAAAGTATTTTTTTGTTAACTTTTTATCTCGTACCGTGCCAATCACCTGAGTAATATTAAACTTGACAATCGTTAAATCCCTGAAAGAGCGAGTCCGCAAAAGTTGAACCAAGAAGTAGAGAGAGACTACAGAACCCATAAACCCAAACCAACACCCCACAATTTTTTTTTTCCTTTATGAACTCATTGGTGGGCCGGACTGAAATCATCCTTGGGTCGGAAATGGCCCGCGGGCCGCCAGTTGACTGGTCCTGATGTAGAGGTTGACTGATGAGGTTTATATGGCTGTCAATCTTTAGAAATCAAGGCATACAACATGATTTTTATAAATACATTTGAAAAAATGGAACATTTAGACAAATGTAGATAAAATAATACGTAGAAGTGAATTTTAGCTTTAAAAAAAACATAGGCTACATGAAGCTGGTTGTAGCAGCTGCATCTTTATTTTTCTACTTGGTAATTGATTTTAGGCTACAGGTGTGACCATTTGTTTTTAAGTGGCCAACTTCAGTGAAGTCATCCGTTCATCTGTAGTCAAATATGTTTTTGTGATTAGTTCTAAAACAAACAACAAAGGGAAACAGCATTAAATACAAAAGTTAAAATAATTGCTTGATGTTTCTGGAAATAGACATCGATGTCTTTCTTTTTTTTATTACGTGAGATTGTGAGCTGGAGTGTTACTGGAAGTGTAGCTAGCAGCCGTTAACTTTGGCCGCAACGCGCTGAAATCGAGCGATGATGAAGAGTTTCTAGTTTTGACATGGTTGGGTTGTGGTTCAAATTTATGACAGGAAAGCACGAGGACTCGCAGTCAGACATGAAGCTGACCTCTTCAGTCGGTACGAGGTTTTATGAGGTCTCTGGAAAGCGTTGCGAGTCTGAAAGAGGCTTCAGTGAGCTGTGAAAGTGCTGCTGAACCATCAGCTGTTTCCTCTGCTGGCTGCAGCGTCGTACGCTGAATACAAACGTGTTCACTGTCCGTTTCGAAAAGGTCTCGGTTTTTTTTTCTCCAGCTAAAAAAAATGCAGGAGGTAAAGCCATTTTCCTCCACGTGTTCGTTCCAAAGAAAACACTCAAGTCCTCTGGTCGTTTTCACCTGGCTATGATTTCACATCAGATTATCGTGCTCAAGTTCACAAACTGAAATCAAACTCGTTTTTTGTCTCCTACAAAAATGTCAAACACTAAATAATTCTAAAAATTCACAGTACTTTAATAACGTATTTTCTATAAAAAATATAAGTCCCCATGGCTCAATGAGGCTAGCCTGTATAAATAAAGGTTGAATTCATTCATTCAACCTTTATTTAGACAGGTTAATCCCATTGAGCCTCGAGGACTCATTGACAAGAGAGACCTGAAATGAAAATAAGACCGAGTTTATCGCAGCTCCTCAGACTGAAGAAGTCTTTTGGATAAAAAGATGAAACGTTTCAATAAGAATCCGTCCAGAGGACCTGACTTAACTTTTTTTTTTTTAGATTTTTCTACCTGAATTATTGAGCATGCATCAGGATATTTTACAGATGTCTTAGCAACCCTGCTTGAACACATGTTACTATTTAAAGCTTGACTTTAACATAAAACATAAAATTCACCTCTATATGTTCAAGTCGTATTCATTAATACATAAATACTTCAAAAGGTGTTTTTATGGGTAAAAACTGTTAAAAGTACTTGAAGATCTGATCAAATCCCAATTAGACGTTTGAAGTTCAAATTCCTGACAAAGGTTAACTTCTGCATAAATACTCATTAAAACAAGATGCTAATAGTTCCACCTTTTTTTTATTTCTCCATAAACCACATCAGTCTCACACCCGCTCATCTGCTCCCAGAACAACAACATGACAGTGATGTGTAATCCACACACACATCCAATGTGGCTCATCTGATTAGAAGAAATATGAGAAAGTTGAGCATTTTTTAGTCGGATAGCAGAAATGTGACCTTAAACCCTCATTACAAGAGAAACACCAACAAAAAGAGAAAGTAAGAGTTAAATTCTTCATGCCTCTCTTTGGGGTTCTGTTAGTAAAGTAGGTCTGCGACTGTAGCCACATTATTTTTCATTAACATATAATTGTTTAAATTAAGGAAGTTATCACAGACTGCCATGTATGTTTTATTGTACGTGACATTTGAGATCACGGTTACCCGGTCAATGTGACAGATTTACATGCGGTGCATCGCTCAAAGCTTTTATTGTGAATAGGCCTGTCGCGATAAACAATAAATCAATTAATCGTATGATATATCGACCTAAATTTTCATTTATCGGCTTTATCGTTTCTTCGTCTCCCTCTTTCTACTGAAGACACTGGATGATAAAAGCTCAACTCTGGTGCTCTTCACTGATCCCTCCCTTTCTCTTTTCTATTTAAAATCACGTTTTAACGATCGTTAAAAGCAGCCGAGCTGAGAAGCTAAGCTACGACCTCGGGGGGAAAAAAAACTCCCGTCTTGTCGAAGCTCCAAAATTCACGGTTGAAACCGGTGCCTTTGTGGAAAAAAGTTGTTTTTCCTCTGCAAAAAGAAGCTGAGAACTTGTTTACTATTTTTTTTATTAAAGGCTTTGTGTGAAAAATGCTATGCTAACGAGCTCAAACCACACGGAGTGTCTGCCATTTTGAGAACTGAATAAAGAAAGAAGAGACAGCTCATGTCACGTCAAGGGGCATCCCTCCCATTTTTCTTAAAGACACACGCTGCTCGCTCCCTCACTATCCATCCTTCGGTTCAAGCAGTCTTATACTGCAATCCGGTGGTAAAAAAAAAGGTACTACAAAACAAATTAACCAACATTTCTTCTTAAATTTGACAATAATAACTAATTATTGTCAAATTTCAAACAATATTATCGTTTATCGCAATAATTTCTAGGACAATTAATCGACCAGCAAAATGTTATCGTGACAGGCCTAATAGTGACGCTGTTCGACACCAGATGATGAACTAGATCAGAGCTATTCAACAAAACTGCTCAGGGGGCCACCATTTCTGAAAGCCAACGGCTCGGGGGCCGGACATCCAGCGATTCAAATCACTATGTAAATAAACCAAAGTTTACATTGATCTGTTACCTTTTCTATTTGTTTATTTTCACTGCATTGGATCATAAATGCAATAAACAGATCTCCGAAACCCAAATCCAGCCCCCCACCCCCCAAATAATATATATTTTGAAAAGGAGTGAGCCGGATTGAAGTCACCCGTGGGCCCGCCAGTTGAATAGCCCTGAACTAGAAGTATTCCTGCAGTTTATTTCACCGAACCTCACATGACGTCTGTATGTTACCTGTGATACTGAGCCAACTAGACCACACATGTTCTGTACCAGCAGTGTCTTTACCAGCAGGGCTGAGTGATAAAACCTCCAGTCTGTACGAGCGTATCATCTCCCGCCTTTAGTATGTCCTTGTCCAAACAAGCTGTAGACTTACTTCTTGTTAACCATACGCTCAATAAGCCCAATGTTTACTTGGTCGTCACCATGTTAGAAATGACGTCGTAAAAACCCCGTGTTTACAGTGTTTTTAATTCAGCATGATAAAAAGTACCAAGGCTAAATGAACAGGTGCTTTACAGAACTCGTGCTCCATTGAGTGGTTATGGATGAGTGGATTAGTGACAGGTCAAAAACTGTTTTAGTTCCAAAGTGTTT